CGGACAGGCACGGTGGGATAGGGCCGCCCGGACTTGTACTTGGGGACCGAGCGTTAACCCGAGCGTTACTCCGAGCATAACAGTCGGGACCGGAGAGCGCGGATCGGCCCCCCGAGAGTCCCCCGTGGGCCTTGCGGACAGGCACGGTGGGATAGGGCCGCCCGGACTTGTACTTGGGGACCGAGCGTTAACCCGAGCGTTACTCCGAGCATAACAGTCGGGACCGGAGAGCGCAGATCGGCCCCCCGAGAGTCCCCCGTGGGCCTTGCGGACAGGCACGGTGGGATAGGGCCGCCCGGACTTCTGGAGGACAAGTCCGAACATGCAGGCGGGACCGGAGATTGCGGAACGGCCCCCCGAGAGTCCCCCGTGGGCCTTGCGGACAGGCACGGTGGGATAGGGCCGCCCGGACTTGTACTTGGGGACCGAGCGTTAACCCGAGCATTAACCCGAGCGTTACTCCGAGCATAACAGTCGGGACCGGAGAGCGCGGATCGGCCCCCCGAGAGTCCCCCGTGGGCCTTGCGGACAGGCACGGTGGGATAGGGCCGCCCGGACTTGTACTTGGGGACCGAGCGTTAACCCGAGCATTAACCCGAGCGTTACTCCGAGCATAACAGTCGGGACCGGAGAGCGCGGATCGGCCCCCCGAGAGTCCCCCGTGGGCCTTGCGGACAGGCACGGTGGGATAGGGCCGCCCGGACTTGTACTTGGGGACCGAGCGTTAACCCGAGCATTAACCCGAGCGTTACTCCGAGCATAACAGTCGGGACCGGAGAGCGCGGATCGGCCCCCCCAGAGTCCCCCGTGGGCCTTGCGGACAGGCACGGTGGGATAGGGCCGCCCGGACTTGTACTTGGGGACCGAGCGTTAACCCGAGCATTAACCCGAGCGTTACTCCGAGCATAACAGTCGGGACCGGAGAGCGCGGATCGGCCCCCCGAGAGTCCCCCGTGGGCCTTGCGGACAGGCACGGTGGGATAGGGCCGCCCGGACTTCTGGAGGACAAGTCCGAACATGCAGGCGGGACCGGAGATTGCGGAACGGCCCCCCGAGAGTCCCCCGTGGGCCTTGCGGACAGGCACGGTGGGATAGGGCCGCCCGGACTTGTACTTGGGGACCGAGCGTTAACCCGAGCATTAACCGAGCGTTACTCCGAGCATAACAGTCGGGACCGGAGAGCGCGGATCGGCCCCCCGAGAGTCCCCCGTGCGCCTTGCGGACAGGCACGGTGGGATAGGGCCGCCCGGACTTCTGGAGGACAAGTCCGAACATGCAGGCGGGACCGGAGATTGCGGAACGGCCCCCCGAGAGTCCCCCGTGGGCCTTGCGGACAGGCACGGTGGGATAGGGCCGCCCGGACTTGTACTTGGGGACCGAGCGTTAACCCGAGCATTAACCCGAGCGTTACTCCGAGCATAACAGTCGGGACCGGAGAGCGCGGATCGGCCCCCCGAGAGTCCCCCGTGGGCCTTGCGGACAGGCACGGTGGGATAGGGCCGCCCGGACTTCTGGAGGACAAGTCCGAACATGCAGTCGGGACCGGAGATTGCGGACCGGCCCCCCGAGAGTCCCCCGTGGGCCTTGCGGACAGGCACGGTGGGGTATGGCCCCTCGGACTTTTGGAGCACAAGTCCGACCATGCAGGCGGGACCGGAGATCGCGGACCGGCCCCCCGAGAGTCCCCCGTGGGCCTTGCGGACAGGCACGGTGGGATAGGGCCGCCCGGACTTCTGGAGGACAAGTCCGAACATGCAGTCAGGACCGGAGATTGCGGACCGGCCCCCCGAGAGTCCCCCGTGGGCCTTGCGGACAGGCACGGTGGGGTATGGCCCCTCGGACTTCTGGAGCACAAGTCCGAAGATGCAGGCGGGACCGGAGATTGCGGACCGGCCCCCCGAGAGTCCCCCGTGGGCCTTGCGGACAGGCACGGTGGGATAGGGCCGCCCGGACTTCTGGAGGACAAGTCCGAACATGCAGGCAGGACCGGAGATCGCGGACCGGCCCCCCGAGAGTCCCCCGTGGGCCTTGCGGACAGGCACGGTGGGGTATGGCCCCTCGGACTTCTGGAGCACAAGTCCGAAGATGCAGGCGCGACCGGAGATTGCGGACCGGCCCCCCGGAAGTCCCCCACGGGCCTTTCGGGCCAGGCACGGTGTTTAGGTCTTCTCGGACTTCTGGAGGAAAAGTCCGAAGCGGAAAAATTCACCGGACGGGGCCGAGCCTTCCAGTGGGTCTTTTGGGCGCTTCGGACGGCCCGCACAAGTCGCCCCCAAAACGCGACATTTGTACGGATTGGGTCGAGTCCGAGAACGGGCGCCGGAGTCCCCGTCGTGGGCAAATCGCGCCGTTTGGCCCACGCGACCAACTCGCCCCAAACTCGACAGCCGATTTAAGGAATTTTTTCTACACAACCCTATGGGAGAGCCCCAAAGAGAGGCAATCGCCATGGTGTGCCTATATATAAGGGGGTGGTGGTCCAGAGCTGTGCACAAAACATATGGAGCGGGCCACCACATGGGCAATCCCCTGTGTCCGACCCACGAGAGGAACTAGACGGGCTCGGTAAGGTGGGTCGGGCCGGACTTTTTGCAGGAGAAGTCCAGAGTGTGCAGGGCGTGGCGGGCCGGCCCCCGAGAGTCCCCGGTGGGCCAGGCGGCGGGGCACGGTGGGTCGGGTACCCCTCGGACTTTTTGGCAGGCAAGTCCGAAGCGCTTGAGGCGGGGCCGGGCGTGGCGGGCCGGCCCCCGAGAGAGTCCCCCGTGGGCCTTGCGGCCAGGCACGGTGGGTCGGGTCCCCTCGGACTTTTTTGCAGGCAAGTCCGAAGCGTTTGAGGCGGGGCCGGGCGTGGCGGGCCGGCCCCCGAGAGTCCCCCGGTGGGCCAGGCGGCGGGGCACGGTGGGTCGGGTCCCCTCGGACTTTTTTGCAGGCAAGTCCGAAGCGTTTGAGGCGGGGCCGGGCGTGGCGGGCCGGCCCCCGTGAGTCCCCCGGTGGGCCAGGCGGCGTGGCACGGTGGGTCGGGTCCCCTCGGACTTTTTTGCAGGCAAGTCCGACGCCTTTGAGGCGGGGCCGGGCGTGGCGGGCCGGCCCCCGAGAGTCCCCCGTGGTCCTTGCGGCGAGGCACGGTGGGTCGGGTCCCCTCGGACTTTTTGCGAGGCAAGTCCGAAGCGTTTGAGGCGGGGCCGGGCGTGGCGGGCCGGCCCCCGAGAGTCCCCCGTGGGCCTTGCGGCGGGGCACGGTGGGTCGGGACCCTCGGACTTTTTTTTTCGGGAGAAAATTTGGAACGGACGGAGAACCGAGGGGGCCCCGCGGCGGCCCCCGGGCGGAGAGCGTCGGCCGCTCCCCTCCCTCTTGTCGTGCAGTTCGGGCCTTCGGTCCGGCCAGCACTCGGATTGGCCCGGCACGGTGCGATGGGAGCGCCGGGGCCGGCCCGCCCGCGTGGGGCGGGTCCGCCCCGACATCCCGCCGGGTCCCGGAACCCATGGCAATCAGACGGCCCGCGCGGGCGGACGAGAGTCGGGGAGCCCAGGCCCCCTCGCACCTCGACCGCCGGGCGGGGACCCGATCACGCCCGCCGCACTCCCGCGGGGGCGGCAGCAGGCGGGGCGCCGAGCCGCAGCCCCGGCGGCGGAACGGGCGGCGGCAGCAGCCCGCCGGGCGGCGGACCGAGGCGGGCCCCCTCCCCGGGGGGACCCGGCGGACCGCGGGATTGAAACGAGGGGAGTCGGAGGGCAAAGGGCGCCGGGCGGGCAAGAGCGGGCCCGCCCGGGACGGCCCCGGAAGACAGAGAGAGAGCCGAACGGCCCGTGCGGAGGCTCGAGAGAGAGAATGACACCGGCGCCGCGGCCCAGGCCGCCGCGGCGCGTCCGGCCCGAGAGAGACGGGCGCGCGCCCCGCCCCGGCGAGGCGGCGCGGCCCGCACGGCCCCGAGAGGGCTACCTGGTTGATCCTGCCAGTAGTCATATGCTTGTCTCAAAGATTAAGCCATGCATGTCTAAGTAAAAGCTTTTACAAGCGAAACTGCGGATGGCTCATTAAATCAGTTATGGTTCCTTGGAGCGCATCCTCCTACATGGAACTGTGGTAATTCTAGAGCTAATACATGCCAGCAAGCGCCGACCTTACGGGAGGCGTGCTTTTATTAGGAACAAGACCAACCCGGGCTCGTCCCGGCTCCGTTGGTGAACTCTGGATAACCTGGCCGATCGCACGGTCCTCGCACCGGCGACGGATCCTTCGAATGTCTGCCCTATCAACTTTCGATGGTACGTTATGCGCCTACCATGGTCGTAACGGGTAACGGAGAATCAGGGTTCGATTCCGGAGAGGGAGCTTGAGAAACGGCTACCACATCCAAGGAAGGCAGCAGGCGCGCAAATTACCCACTCCGACACGGGGAGGTAGTGACGAAAAATAGCAATACAGGACTCTTTCGAGGCCCTGTAATTGGAATGAGTACACTTTAAATCCTTTAACGAGGATCTATTGGAGGGCAAGTCTGGTGCCAGCAGCCGCGGTAATTCCAGCTCCAATAGCGTATATTAAAATTGCTGCAGTTAAAAAGCTCGTAGTTGGATCTTGGGCGCAGGCTGGCGGTCCGCCGCAAGGCGCGCCACTGCCAGCCTGGCCTTCCTCTCGGTCTCCGCCCGGTTCTCTTGACTGAGTGCCGAGCGCGGCCGAAACGTTTACTTTGAAAAAATGGAGTGTTCAAAGCAGGCCGACCGCCTGGACAGCAGAGAGCATGGAATAATGGAAAGGACCTCGATACCGCCCTAGTTCTAACCATAAACGATGCCGACTGGCGATCCGCCGGCGTTACTCCAATGACGCGGCGGGCAGTCTGCGGGAAACCAAAGTCTTTGGTT